ACACAATCTTCTGAACCAGTGGTTTGCGTGTGAATTCCGGAACTATTTTAGGTGTGGAGGCATGTGTGTCCCTCTTCTAAACCCGGAGTGTGGCAGCTGCTGCAAATAGTAAGGCTCGGGCCGCTTACTGAGTTTAGGAGGAGGCTCCCACATTAAGAATCAAGAAAATGATAGCGTCTGGGTGGGTCTTTAGGGGTGGCCCGGTCCCTAGAAGGCAGCTACGTGGTGGAGAAGCCGGTTTCACCCAGAAGGGCCACCTGCCGGTATCTATTTCAGGATCGCCCTAAGAACAACCGAGGCACCAAGGGGCCCTGGGGCGCCTACGGGCTATCGGGGTGCATTGTGGTCTGATCACCTACTCCGGTGCCACATCTGGAGAAAAGTCTCAAGGACCCGTGGGTTCCGAAGGGTGCCTCAGGTCGGAAGGCGGTGCCTGCTACAGAAGCAGGCAGTATAATACTTCTTTTCCAACTACGAAAAGCACAGCATGCCTCTGTAATAGCCAGCTGTCCGGGCAGAGTGCATCCTTCCTGTGGGCCGTGAGCCCACACACCTGAGAGGTCCTCGTAGGTTCCGTCGTTGACACTGGCTGGGAAGTGGCAGGTTGGGGAGTGTCCTTCTGCAGCGCCATCCTCCTGATTATTTTGCACTTTTCAAGGGGATTGCTGGGTGGCAAACACTAGTGTCTAAGAAAGACCAAAAAACGAACCAGCCCACACGCTGGTCCTTGAAGCCACACCTCCTCCTATTACCCAGCACGCCTTGCCTACGTGGTCGTGGGCTAGGAGTCTGATCGAAGCCACTGCCTCGCTCAGCCCCCACGGTCCCCAGGAGAGCCAGAGAGCACCCTTGCCTTCCCACCGCCTGACACACGCGTTGGTTTTTGTGCTGAAGCAGAGCCTCTTGATTCTCTCCAGCAGTCTGTGGGAGAAGAGCGTGCAGATAGGCTGTTTAAAGATTCCTGCTGTCCTTACAGATCGGAGAGTTCACCGTGGGCAGTTGTGGGAAGAGATAGGGAGGGAGAGGCTGGGCAGCGTAGCCATCTGCGTGGAGGTGTTTTATTTCAGGGGCAGGCCTGAGACAAAGTGCATGTTAGGAGAGGTCGAGGTGGAGGGAGTGGCTGAAATTATAGACTATCGGTGCTGGAAGGGGCGGGCCTCACGGCGATGCCATCCAGTCCATTTTTAAATGAAGAAACTCTACGGCGGAGAGAAGGGGTTCACAGCTGGTTACAGTTCACCCCGCAGAGCAGGCAGAGGCAGGAAGGGGCGTGTGGAGGCATCAAGGAGACGCTCACAAGGAAGGCAGCAAGGAAAAGCCAGTGAGGATTGGGGCATAAAATAAGCACAGGATTGACAGAGGGGACTAAGGACTGATGTGTCAGAGCTGCCTGTCGCTGGACTGGACCAGGCAGGCTGTTCCTTTTGCTGGAGGCGCACATTAAAGCATGTACATCATACCCTGCTTTCTCTCCTCATCCCCCATCTTCTGTGTGTATTTTTTTTAAACATATTTTTAGCTGAAACCGGTTTGGCTCAGTGGATAGAGCGTCGGCCCAGGTTCGATTCCTGTCAAGGGCATGTACCTTGGTTGCAGGCACATCCCCAGTAGGGGGCGTGCAAGAGGCAGCTGATTGATGTCTCTCTCATCGATGTTTCTAACTCTCTATCCCTCTCTCTTCCTCTCTGTAAAAAAATCAATAAAATATATATTTTTAAAAAACATACTTTTATTGACTTCAAAAAGAGAGGGAGATGGAGAAATAGAAACATCAACGATGAGAGAATCCTTGATCGGCTGCCTCCTGCATGCTCCTGGGGATCAGGCCCCGCAACCCAGGCATGTGCCCTGACCGGGAATCAAACCATGACCTCCTGATGGGTTCATAAGTCGACACTCAACCACTGAGCCACACCAGCCAGGCTCTTTTGCATTTTCATAATAAATTAATTGAGGATTCGGCAGCTCCATGGGGCAGGCTTCTGCTGTCCAGAAGGCAGAAAGGCTGGGAAAGGACGTGGTTCTGCTCGGCCCCTTCTAGCTCATCACTTGGGTGCTTGGTGGCTGAGGCTCGGGGCCCTGGGAGAGTCTCGCTCCTCCCTTTTGTAGCCTGCGGTTTAGTAAGCGATCTTCCCTGCTCAGCCTGTGCTGCTCCGAGCAGGAGGGAGCAGGTGACCCAGCCTTCGTCTGTCCCCACTGCTGACCCAGCCCTTGGAGGAGAAAAGCTTGTTCCCGGAGCGTAGGGTGGGGACCTATGACGCCAGGGTTCCGGCTGCAGAGACCAGCGCCATAGGCTTTCCCTCCTCTCTGATCAGTTCCCCGTGTGCCCCGTGCGGACAGTTGAGGGGAGAGTGTACACAGGTGTGTGAAGTGGGCCGGTCCCACTGTGCCGCTGTTGCTTGGTTTATCATTAACCTGGGGCTGTTGGAAGGGACAGAAGTCACTCCTTCAGCCTGGGCCCCACCTGCCACAGCCAGCAGGCGAGGTGGGTAGGGACACTGCGATCCTGAACTCCTCCTGGGCCCGGTGGCAGATGCTGGGCGTGGGCCCTGACAGCCTCGCTCAGCTGCACAGGCTTCTCCAGCATGAGACTGCTGGCTCCCAGCTCCTGTGTTCAATGCACAGTGTGCACCGGCTTTGTTGCTCCTGTGAACTCTGCACTCGGGGCTGTGCTGGGCAGGAGGCCCCTTGCTGTCACGCACTGTGGCAGGGAGGGGAGGGTGTCAGTGAGGTTGGGGCATGGATGTCAGCATCCACCCTGCCCAGAGAAAGGTGAGCCCTGAGGACGTGGTCATTCACCTTGCTCCTGAGAGGGTCCTCCCCACTACGGGGCACCCTAAGTCAGAGACCCAGTGTTGATCTGAAGGGCTTGGTGCCAGTGCTTGTCCTGGGGGCCCACTCTGTCCCCATGTGGGTTGGAGAAAGCAGAGAGGGACTCAGTGTGGGCATAGAAGGCTAAGAGAGCCCAGCCGGTATGGCTCAGCTGTTGAGCGTTGAACCAAGAACTAAAAGGTTGCTGGTTTGATTCCCAGGCAGGGCATATGCCGGGGTTACGGGCTTTATCCCCTGTAGGTATATGCTGGAGGCAGCCGATCGATGATTGATGATCAATGATGATGATGATGATCGATGATTGATGATCGATGATAATGATGATTGATGATCGATGATGATAATGATGACGACAACGATAAGGATGTTTCTCATGGATGCTTCTATCTCTCTATCCCTCTCTCTTCCTCTCTCTTTAAATTTTTTTTAAATCATTTTTTTTTTAAAGAAGGCGATTAGAAAGGTAAAGGTCATGTGCACCCGCAGGAGGGGAATACAACATTCACAGAGTTTGCCTCCTACAGGGCCTTTCACTTAGACCTCGGGCCTGTGTTCGCTGTGCCTCCTTCCCCAGCCGTGCTGTGAAGGCGGGAGTGGTCCAGGCCCACACGGTGACGTGGCCCCGGGAACTAAATGCGGGGTGCAGAGCACAAGTACCCGTTCCCTTCCCTCTAAGACCCCTATTCCTTTTACATTGTAACCAGGATGACAGGGTGCGTTTTCCAATCTACAAACACAACTCCTGTGTTGTTGTTCTTAACCCTCCTTAAAAGCTGTTATTAAAGTCATGGGTGCACTTTCCGGTCAGTTCTTAGAATGACACAGATTGGGCTTATTTCAGCTCGCCCTTTCCCATTTCCGATATCCGTAGCTTCTCCTTACGACTTTTCCCACCTGGCTTCCTGTTTCACTGGAAAATCGCCACGTTATCTGCCGGCACAGAGTCAAGTACAGCCTCCATCCTGTCTGGGCCAGCTCGTCATCTCATCTCCGGGGATGATTCTGAACGCCCCCATGCTCTGTGGAGACCTGTGGGCATGGGGGACCTCCCCACAAACCCCAGAATAAGTGTCCCCACTCTGGGACCGGGAGCTCTGGACACACTTGCTTTCCCTTGAGATCTGTTTGCTGCTGCTGTTTTTACTGAAACCACCTTCCTGTGCCTTCTAAAGTATCTGCTGGCCAGGCCTGCCCCCGAGGCACCAGTGTTGGTCAAAACTCCTAGAGTACCACACTAAGAAGAAGGAATTTTGCTGTGGGTAAATTGCACCCTCTATAAACCTGACTTTTTAACGAAATCCAGCTAAACTGCACACGTCCAGGTGTATGGCTGCTGTTGCAGCGTTGTTTGCAGAATATGGGAAGCAGCCTCAGTGACATTCAAGAGGGGACTGGATAAGTGGATGATGATACTTGCATAGGATGCTATATGATCGATAGCTGTGAAAGGGAACTACATAGATCTGTACACCTGCTGTGAAATATCTTTAAGATATTTGAATATATCTTTAAGTTGCATCAAGTGAAGAAAAGCCATGTTACCTACAGTGGGCAGGTTTGCTTTTTTGTGTAAATGTGTGCATGGTGTTTGTTGATTTGATTGGCGTGTCTCCAGAAGGATGCGTGAGAAATTGCCGCCATGGTTTCCTCTGAGAGGGCCTGGGTGCTGAGGGCCAGGGTAGAAGGAAGACTTTGTTGGCACTCTACACCGTTTTGTTTTTTTGTTATCCTTGCTCAAGGGTATCTTTCCATTGATTTTTAGAGAGTGGGCGGGGAAGGGGGAACATCAATGTGAGAGACACACATTGATCGGTTGCTGCTTGCATGTGCTCTGACTGGGGCCAGGGATTGAACCTGCAACCCAAGTACGTGCCCTTGACCAGGAATCGAACCCATCACCCTTCAGTGTGCAGACAGGTACTCTGTCCACTTAGCCGCACCAGCCAGGCCTGTGCACTGTTTTTGCATTTAAATTGTTTTCATTTGTGTGGATATTGTCACTTCGAGAGGTAAATAAAAACAAAATGAATTGCTTTGAGATAGCTAGCTCGCTAGCTAGATGGATGGAGGGGTAGATAGACAAACAGATGGGCAGTAGGTAGATGCAAGCCCACGGAGTTCTGGAATGAATGGCACTGACCTCCAGCCCATTTGTTTCTCCATGTCAGGCCCGTCGTCTGAGCCGCCTCACTCGCCCACCAGCAGCGGGAAGAAGCTCTTTGCTCCCGTCCCGTTCCCTTCGGGCTCCACGGAGGACGTGTCCCGCAGCAGCCCCCTGCAGCCACCGCCCCTGCCCCAGAAGAAGCTAGTGAGCCGGGCGGCCTCCTCGCCAGACGGCTTCTTCTGGACCCAGGGCTCCCCCAAGCCCAGAGCGGCCAGCCCCAAGCTGAACCTCAGCCACTCGGAGATCAACGTCCGCACACACGAGGAGCCCCCCTTCGGCTTCTCCTCCAGCCACGGCAGCCGCCACCATCACGCCTTCTCCTCGGAGCCCCTGGAGAGAGCGTTCAAGGGCAACGGCCACTGGGTCCCGGCTCCGGGGCTGGCGGGCGGCCGAAGCGGCAGCGGGAGCCCCAACCTGCAGGGCCGGGGGGTGCCCTTGGCCTCCTCCTCCTCCCAGCTGAGCGTGGCCAGCCAGGCCTCCACCGGCAGCAACCAGCTGCAGCTGCACAGCCTGCTGAGCAGCATCAGCAGCAGGGAGGGCACCCACACCAAGCTGGTGGGGCTCTACGCCCAGTCCCTGGTCCGCCTCGTGGCCAAGTGCGAGGACCTGTTCATGGGCCGCCAGAAGAAGGAGATGCACTTCAACGAGAACAACTGGTCGCTCTTCAAGCTGACCTGCAACAAGCCCTGCTGCGACTCGGGGGACGCCATCTACTACTGCGCCACCTGCTCCAAGGACCCCGGCAGCACCTACGCCGTGAAGGTAGGTACCGCCCTCGGCATCGGCAGCATGGCCCGCTGGTCCTGGCTCCGGCGGGACTGTGGCCGGAGCGAGTCCTCCGCCTCTCCGGTTTCCGGAGGGGGGCTGAGTCCGAAGGTTCCTCTTAGCACTGAATGCTGGGTGACCTCGCTCTGCCTGGCGAAGGGCACGGTGCGGTGAGGTTTGTACTGTGAATGGATGATTCATTCTGTGCTTCCAGGCATGAACGGAGGGGATCTCGTTGGATTAAGATAGCAATTGTCTTTTAATGCAACAGAGAGTTCCTTCAATCATTCAGGGGGCTTTTACTGAGTGCCTACGATAGGCCAAGTATTTCCTCAAGGTCTGAGTATAGAGAGGTGGACATAAGGTTCCTATGGAGCTTATAATCTAGCACAGAAATGGACAGTTAGGATATTGTCCTTCAGACAGTTGGAATGTTGTCCTTTAGACCTTGAACAATAAGGGTCAGAGCATTGACTGAGCATTCACTATACAACTAAACTCTTCCGTCTACATGAACCACATGACCTTGAATCCTCAGAGGGTAGGTAGGTTTCACAGATGAGGAAAATGATTAAGTGACTTGCCCATAGTCAGCTGATGGTTGAGATGGATGCTTTGTCTTGTCTACAACGCCTCTGCTACCATCATGTCAGTTAAGACAAATGAAGTTCAGAGAAGCTAAGTGATTAGTAGTTCAAGGTAACACAGCTCTTTCATCTTTGCCCCTGGGTCAGGGCTGTTGCTGCCACACCCCACTGCTCTCGCAGGGTGCGGTTTCAAGCCCGCTGGTTGAGCATCTGCATACATCTGGCCATTTGGATCTTGGCCCACTGACTCAAGCCTTCCCGTGTGTCTTCATCTCCTTTCAGTGTGCCTCGCATGTCTGATGGGTCTGTGGCCCTTCTATAAGCTTAGGCTTTTGGTTGGGAGTGAGGAGGGGAACCCTGGGCGCTCTTTTGCCATCATCTGTCCCAAGATGTTTTGCTTCCAGTTAGAAAAGATGCAAATAGCAAACTAACAAATAGCCTTGGTGGGGCAGCTTCCTATGTATGAGTGAAATTTTTTAAAAGATTACAATTATTGCCAGGACCGGTTTGGCTCAGTGGATAGAGCATCAGCTTGGGGACTGAAAGGTCCCGGGTTCGATTCCGGTCAAGGGCATGTACCTTGGTTGCGGGCATATCCCCAGTGGGGGGTGTGCAGGAGGCAGCTGATCGATGACTCTCATCGAGGTTTCTAACTCTATAACTCTCTCCCTTCCTCTCTGTACAAAATCAATAAAAAATATTTTTAAAAAAGATTACAATTATTAGCCAAGGAAATTAGCATTGAATTTTACGTTGAGATTTTTCTTTTAAGAAATTAGTGACACCACCCTAAATGATAGATTGGGAACCACTGATTTCTATGTTCAAGGAACTACATACAATTACTTGCTGCCTTCCTATGAAAAAAAAAAGGGGGGGGAAGGGGATGGCTACGAGGAGGGTCCAGTGATTGTACAGAAATCAAGGCCCTGGAAGACGAGAGGCTGTGTCCAGAGGACGGGCAATACACGGGAGAAATCACCAAGGTCAGGAATGAGAGTCTGTGGACTTCCTGAAGTTTGTTGCCTCTATTTTTTTTTTTTTAACTTTTTTTTAAAATATATTTTATTGATTTTTTTTTTACAGAAAGGAAGGGAGAGGGATAGATAGCTAGAAACATCGATGAGAGAGAATCATCGACCAGCTGCCTCCTGCACACCCCTGCCTGCAACCAATGTACATGCCCTTGACCGGAATCGAACCTAGGACCCTTCAGTCCACAGACCGACGCTCTATCCACTGAGCCAAACCGGTTTCGGCTTCCTTGCCTCTTTATATCTAACCCCAATAGCTACTCTCTTGGTAAGGTCCCTTCCCTGCCACTCCCCCAACCACGGTTAAAAAAAGAAAAACACAATGCCTGCATTTCCCCTCCTATTGGGATGGTGCTGTATCCGGTAGAGGAAGGAGTGAGCGGACCCTCCAGTGAGCTGAATGTGATCAGCCCCTTCCCACCTTCCGCCCAGCGCCAGGGGTCCGTATCCACCCAATGAAAGGAACGTAGATGGAGATCCCTGAACACCACGGAGATGGAGGCGCCTTGAGGAAGTTCATTGTCGCTCGCCCCGGTGAACCTGAGCAAGGGAGCTGTGCATCCTCCCTCTGCGTCCGCCTTCCCGGTTCAAGGGCATCAGTCATTCTCCTCGTCTCCTGGGCTGGACCTGGGCCTCTTTCACCATCAGGAGATAGCTGGCCTCTCCCTGTGAGCGGGAAAGAGCCTGGCGGGAGAGGCCTCGTCCCTCTGGCCCCGAGGGCGAAAGCGATGTGACCCTCCTGCAAAGAACCGAGGGGCCCCCTGGCACGAGATCTGCCAGGGTTCGGGGTTTTCTACACGTGACTGCGACGTGCAGCTTGCATTCTAGAACCTCCTGTCATAATGTAGAATCAGCTGCATTCTCCGGAGACCAGTGCAGAAAACCCAGCTGCCCAGGAGGATGTTAAAGGCAAGCGTTACTTCTCGTCTCGGAAGGAAAGGAAACCCTGAGGAAACGAGGAGATAGGTCTTGGTCTTCGAAGGAAGAGGGCCCCACGTGTTCCCCGTCTGATTTTGCTGGACACTCGGCAGCGCAAGTGTCCCGTGTGGAGAGGGGGCTTGGGAGAAGGGCTGGACATGGTCAGAGACTGGGGAACCACAAGATCCGTTTGCACCTGTGCCCGGCCTGGTGCTGGGGGGGCGGGCGGGGTGTGAGCGTCATTTCGCATGTACAGCTGTTCCACCTCATTAGCTGCCTGGTCTAGACGGGAGCACGCTCCCGGAAAGGGGGAGCGGGTCCCCCTCTGGAGCCTGTCTGTCGCCAAGCTCATTTCATCTGCGCCTGGCGGGCAGGAGCCTCTGTCAGGAGCCCCTGTAGGGAGCCCTGTGGACAAAGGCCGGCTCGCACCTGCTCCCACTGATGCCGGGCCCTGGTTCTGGGGCTCGCAGCAGCGAGGAGGGGAAGGCTGCTCTGTAGCCCTGCTCATGCGTACAAGGCAAGGGGGAAGCTATTAATTGTGTGTGAGGTCTCGAAGCCAGGTTCATTCCTCAGTCACCTAGAACCGTGGTCGGCAAACTGCGGCTCACAAGCCACCTGCGGCTCTTTGGCCCCTTGAGTGTGGCTCTTCCACAAAATACCACGGCCTGGGTGAGTCTATTTTGAAGACGTGGCATTAGAAGAAGTTGAAGTTTAAAAATTGGCTCTTCAAAGACATGTCAATCGTTATACTGTTGATATTTGGCTCCGTGGACTCATGAGTTTGCTGACCACTGGCCCAGAGCTTCCGTTGAGTGATTAGGGGCCTGTGTTGGGCCGGCTGGGCCCTTTTTTCTTATTGAACAGACGTGACTTCGCCCAGGTTCTCTGCAGGGAGTGAGGACCAGGCTGCAAAGTTTAAAGGAAGACTTGGCTCAACCAAACGTTTGAAATATAAGCTGAATCAAAGGTTTGTGTGAATGTCTTGAGCCAAAAAAAAAAAAAAACGCTGCAGACGCCTGAAAATGAAATGAGGGGGTGGGGCAGGTGGGGATGGAAAGGAAGCCGCCTTCCCCCATCCAGTCCCTCCACCCAGCTGTCTGTGCAGCCAGATGACCCGCTCACTGGTTTCTGAACCACATCCAGCCCGGTTGCCATGGACGCTGCTCCTTCATTTACATCTCTGTGCGAACTGTCAGCGCTCCCCTGGGAGTGTTCACAGGGCCCGGGCCTTGGAGGCCCCGGAGAAAGGGGGGTCCTTGGAAACAGTTCCCATGCCCCAGACAGCTGCACCCTCGGTTGGTACAATAACCTACACACCAGCTCTGGGGTGTGTACGGAGCATGGTTGCAGCCAAACCTGCCAGAGCCATCACCATAGCAACCTTCCCCAGCGACTGCTCACCTGGGCCAAGCGCCACACCCATGCTGAGAGCCACACAAGTGCTGACAACCACACCCGTGTTGTGTCATTGAATGCTCCCAGCAGCCGCCAGGAAGGAGCTGATCCTGCCCTGTACAGGGGGTAGAAGGCGGACTTGGAGATGAATACAGCCAGTCCTCACTGTATGGACTCCATGTTGTGAATTCACTGCTAAAACATATTTGAAACTCAAATACTTAGGGCATTTTTGTGGTCATTTCTGGACATGCACAGAGGGGGGAGGATTGGAATCGCCCCATTTGCAAATTCCCAGCAGTGGTGGCACAAGGGGGCGCTCCACCTGGTTTCAGCGCTCGTTGTCAACAGGGTCCCTCCCGTGGTCTAGTTACTGCCTCGTTCTTCACAGTTTGGGGCTTGCTGGCAGTGACGATGCTGTTTAAGTGGCCAGGCTGAGCGCTGGGGTCCTGTCTGCCGCTCCTGAGGGCTGTGGAGTGCCCCTGGGAGAGCACTAGACTAGCGCCATGCAGGCAGGAGGGAAAGTGCTGTGGGCCGTGAGTTCGGTGTTAATGAATCAACAGCATCTGTTAATGAGGCATCTCTGAACAGAAACCCACATGAAACAGGGTTCTATGGTGGCCAGCTAATGAAAATGTTGTAACCTGAGGCTGGCTAGAACTTCCCTTTGCATGTCCTCCGGGAGCCGTGGTTCAGGATTCGCCAATTCGCTGTGTGTGGCTGCTTCTCAGGACAGAGCTGCTGCGAGTACCCGGCGCGTCGGCAGCTTGTCAGTGTTTGCAGAGTTTATGCGTAAACCAAGGTCTCTTGCACGCTCAAGCCCGTGCTCTGACTTCTCAAATTCTTGTCTGTTGTATAATCGTGAGCAAATGGAGCCTCTTGGGCCCTCGGCTTCCTCTCCTGTAATCCCATCTACCTCATTTGGTGGTTGGAGGTTGAATGGAATTTGATGCGTAGAGGGCTGAGTGGACACAGCGCCTCACGCACGCAGGAGTTCAGTAGGTGGCCATGTGGCTGAGACACCCTCACTGGAGGGAGTGACCCAGACATCAGCACTGAATTTCCCACGTGCTCAGAGAGAGCACTGCAGGCTGGCCCATACCCAGTGGTTGGTATTTATATGCAAGACTATCTGTGAGGACCACTCCCCTAAATTTCCTTCAAGTTAATAGCGTTCCAAAAGCCAGCGTATCTGTATTTATTTGTAATTATATATAATATATATATATCTATACACATATAGACATATATATGATTTCAGAGAGGAAGGAAGAGGGAGAGAGAGAAACATCCATGATGAGAGAGAATCATTCATTGGCTGCCTCCTGCATGCCCCACACTGGGGATCAAGCCCACAACTGGGACTTGTGCCCTGACAGGGAATCCAACTGTGACCTTCTGGTTCATTGGTTGACGCTCAACCAATGAGCCTCATCGGCTGGGCAGGAGCCGGCCATTTAAAAGCTAAAGACAGTTGAATAAGAAATTGCCTGCAACAATGCCCTCTAGATAAACTATTCCAAAATCATGTTTGCTGGCATAATGGAACCAAAGTCTGGGCTAAATGCACTTCCCTTTTATGTCTATCCCACTCCCATAGCAGAGAAATTACCAGATTAATGTGTTACCTCCCCCGCTTCCCCGTTAGGTTGATAAAGTTTCCTAAGAGGCTGAACTCTTTTGATCCCAGGTTTTGTTCTGAGAAGGGTTCTGTAGCTGCAGCATAGGTAAATCTCTGTGCAAAGTGCTTGCTGTGGAACTTGTAAAAACAGCCCCTGTGAGCCTGTGACCATTGCAGACACCGGAGTGGGTTATTCTGGGATTGTCCGCTGGATGGTGTGTTCCGGGTGGATGCGAGAAGCCTTTCTTCCAGGGATTACACACTGATCCCTGCCTTCCACAAAGCCAGGCTGAGGCTGTGCACCAGCCTTGGGGAGAGGAAATCACAGACCCTCTTCAGTCCCTTTCGGGGTAATTACAGGGCACTGGAGGCCCACGGTGTCTGGCTCCAGGCTCTCCCGTTGTGTGGCGACCTGATGAGGATTAGTGTGGCTGGAGGTCCGGGTGGCTGGCGCTGTCATTAGTACAGAAAGATGCTGAGGAGAGGGGTGTGGGGATTCCCCAGAGGAGCTTGCGAACACCTGTGTGCTTACTCCTGCTTTCTGCTCAGAGGGTGCCTTTGGCCCATTGGGTTTCCCAGCCCTGGAGAGCTTTCTGTTTTCCTTCAGCTACTCTGACTCACGTGGCAGTTTCATTGAAATCAGCCCTGCAGGTCAGGCCAGCTAGAAGGCAGTGCATCTGTACCCGGATCTGGAAACGAGGGCATCCTCAGAGAACGTGGCCAAGGCCTAAGAGCTTAGGGCCTGCATCTGCCCCTGAGGTTCCCGGGAAGGATGCACCCCTGTGGTCAGGCCAGTCCCCTGTCAGGTCGCTGCCCATTCAGGCGCTGGGGGTGGGCAGCAAGGCTGACTGCTTGTGTCGGCTCTGATCTGGCTTCCTGAGGATCTGTCCAGCTGGCACCATGGGCAGAGGGAAGTCTTCCTACCAATGCCAGGGACCCACTGTATGTAGTTGCTCAGGGATCCCACACTTTTTAAAATATATATATATATATATATATATATATATATATATTTATTGATTTTTTTTTTTTACAGAGAGGAAGAGAGAGGGATAGAGAGTGAGAAACATAGATGAGTAAGAAACATCAATCAGCAGCCTCTTGCACACCCCCTATTGGGTATGTGTCCGCAACCAAGGTACATGCCCTGGACTGGAATCGAACCTGGGACCTTTCAGTCCACAGGCCAACGTTCTATCCACTGAGCCAAACCGGTTTTGGCTGGGACCCCACTCTTACTGGTTGTGTGATCATTCTACTTTTCATTTCTTAAGAAATCGCCAAACCGTGTTCCAAAGTGACCACACCGTTTTTACAAACCACCAGCCCTACATCAGTGTTCCCATTGCTCCTTATCGTCATAGATGCTTGATATTGTCTGTCCTTTTCCTTACGGCCATTCTAGTGGGCGGCAGCCAGTATCTCGCTGTGGGTTTGATTTGCATGTCCCTAATGACTCATGATGGTGAACATTTTTTCAGGTGCCTGTGGCCATTTACATATTTCTTTGGTAAAATGCCTGTCATATCTTTGCCCTACTTTTTCATTGGGAAGTTTATCTTATAACTGAGTGGTAAGAGTTTTTTTTTGTAAACTGGATACAAAGTATTTATCAGATATGTATCTTGTCCATATTTTCTCCCAAGTCTATTGCTTGCCTTTCCTTATTTGTTTTATTTTATTTTTATTGATTTCAAAGAGGAAGAGAGAGAGAGAGAGAGAAACATCAATGATGGGAAGAATCATTGAGCGGCTGCCTCCTGCATGCCCCTTACTGGGGATTGAGTCTGCAACCCAGGCATGTGCCCTTGGCTGGAATTGAACCTAGGATCCTTCCGTCCAAAGGCTGACGCTCTAGCCACTGAGCCAAACCAGCTAGGGCCCTTTCTTTTTACTTAAAGGTACATTTTAAAGCCTAAAAGTTTTGAATTTTGATGGGGTCAAACTTATCCATTCTTTCTTTTAGGAACCATGCTTTTGGTATGGTGTCAGATGTCTTTGCTCAGGCAACCCAAGATTCTTGCCTGCGTTTTCCTCTAACATTTGTATGTTCGGGCCCTTATACCTAAGTCTCTGTGACCATTCTGAGTTCATGTGTGTGCATGGCGTGAAGGAAGTTGCACTTCACCTTTGCACGGGGGGGGGGGGATTTCCAAATGTCCCCAACACCGTTTGTTGAACAGAGGATGGATCCCCCTCTTGACCTCGCCTCTCCTTTCCCCCCGCAGATCTGCAAAAGCCCCGAGCCCAAAGGGGCCTCCTACTGCAGCCCTGCGGTGCCCGTGCACTTCAACATCCAGCAGGACTGCGGCCACTTCGTGGCCTCGGTGCCCTCCAGCATGCTCGCCCCGCCGGACATGCCCAAGGACGTGCCCAAGGACCCCACGCCCGCCCCGCCCGCTCAGCCCCCCGCCCAGGAGCAGGACTGCGTGGTGGTCATCACCCGCGAGGTGCCCCACCAGACCGCCTCGGACTTCGTGCGGGACTCGGCCGGCACCCACCAGGCCGAGCCCGAGGCCTACGAGCGCCGCGTGTGCTTCCTGCTGCTGCAGCTCTGCAACGGGCTGGAGCACCTCAAGGAGCACAGGGTCATCCACCGGGACCTCTGCCTGGAGAACCTGCTGCTGGTGCACTGCACCCCCCAGGCCTCCCCCAGCCCCCCTGCCTCCTTTTCCTCCTCCGCTGCCACCACCACCGCCACCAGCACCCCTCCCTCCACCACAGGCACTGCCCCTGCTGCTAGTCCCGCCCCTGGCCCCTCCACCACCCTCCCCGCCAGGGTCACCCCCAGCCCCCCACCTCCCCCCACCTGCCCGGGGGCGCCCAGGGAGGAGCACCTGCCCCGGCTCATCATCAGCAACTTCCTGAAGGCCAAGCAGAAGCCCGGCAGCACCGCCAACCTGCAGCAGAAGAAGAGCCAGGCCCGACTGGCCCCCGAGATCGTGTCCGCCTCCCAGTACAGCAAGTTCGACGAGTTCCAGACGGGCATCCTCATCTACGAGCTGCTGCACCAGCCCAACCCGTTCGAGGTGCGGGCCCAGCTGTGGGAGCAGGACTACCGGCGGGAGGACCTGCCGCCGCTGCCCGCCCTGTCCCTCTACTCGCCCGGCCTGCAGCGGCTCGCCCACCTGCTGCTGGAGGCCGACCCCATCAAGCGCATCCGCATCGGGGAGGCCAAGCGGGTGCTGCAGTGCCTGCTGTGGGGGCCGCGGCGGGAGCTGGTGGAGCAGGGGGGCCCGGGGGCCTCGGAGGAGGCGCTGAGCAGCACGCTGCACAACTGGATCGACATGAAGCGCGCCCTGATGATGATGAAGTTCGCGGAGAAGGCCGTGGACCGCAGGCGCGGGGTGGAGCTGGAGGACTGGCTCTGCTGCCAGTACCTGGCGGCCGCCGAGCCCGGCGCCCTCCTGCAGTCGCTCAGGCTCCTGCAGCTGCTGTGAGCGCGGCCCCTGCCTGCACTTTGGCTGTCTACCCCCTCTTCGCTGTCTACACCCTTCGCGTCCAGCCCCTTCCCATGGTCCGTCCCGACCCCCCCGCACCCTGCCTGCCTCAGAAAGCTTCGTGTCTCCCTGGGGAAATGGTACAGTGACTGTCCTACTCGGATATAATGTGTATATAACGTGTGTCCGTGGAAAAGGCTGATGAGGGTGTCCTTGCCGCCCAGGGCCCCCTCTGCTCCCAGGTGCTCCTGGTCTCTCCGCGGTGATGCACGCTCTGGCTCAGTCCAGGTCCTGGGGACCCGGCTGCCAGCAGAATGAAGCCTGGATCTCATCACCTTTCTGTCTAATTGTTATTTAAACAAAACAAAAAAAGTCATTAAAAATTTTTTGATTGAATCAGAGGGCAAAGCTCTTCTATCCCCAGGTGTCCAAGTGCATGACTGTCTTTGGTGGGTAAAACTGAAGCAATGGCTGGGCTCCTTGGAGTGGCCTTGGTCTTGCCCTTCTCCTGATAGAGCAGCAGGTCGAGCTCAGGCTTGGGGGGGGCCTATCTTCCCCGTTTCCCTCCCAACTCCACCCCCACAGTCTCAGAAGGAATCTAGATGCAGCTGGTGTGGTCCCACAGGTTGGGAATTCAATCACTGCTCCAAACCATTTCCACTTGGCTAACGCGGGTGTTGGTGAGAGGCCTGGATGAAAATAGAATCCACTCCAGATGGTTTGATGTAAAAACCTTAGAAAGGTGGGGGCAAGGTTAAGGGAAGAGACGATGATGAGGCAGAGGCTGGCACGGGAAAACCACCTACTCTGTTGCCACCTGTCATCTCCAGGCCAAGACCAACGGGACACCAGACAGCCAGGGGAAGGGGGTGGGGGGATGCCCTGGGCAGGACCAGCCTCCCCGAGCAGGGAGACACGGTGAATGGTGGGGGTGGCAGTGGGCCCATGGCTCACTGTTCTTACTGTACTAGGTCGTGGAAAGGCAGTAGTAGAACTCAGGCTCTCATTCCCAGACCAGCGCTCTGCTGTTCTAAGCTCCTTCATGTTTCCAGTTTTAAAGACGCATACGTTTAACCCTTATTGGCACCTGCTGTCTACTACAGTCAGTGTGTTACCATGCCTTATTTATTTTTTTAAAGGATCATATTTTTTATTTATTTAAAAAATATATTTTATTGGTTTTTTTAACAGAGAGGAAAGGAGAGGAATAGAGAGTTAGAAACATCTATGAGAGAGAATCATCAATTAGCTGCCTCTTGCACACCCCCCTACTGGGGATGTGCCCGCAACCAAGGTACGTGCCCTTGACTAGAATTGAACCTGGGACCCTTCAGTCCACAGGCTGATGCTCTATCCACTGAGCCAAACCAGTTTCGGCTACCATGCCTTTATTTTTTTTTTAAGAAAATGTTTTTATTGATTTTAGAGAGAAGAGGACAGAGAGGGATAGAGAGATAGAAGCATCGATGAGAGAGAAACATCACTTATTGGCTGCCTCCTGCATGCCTCCTACTGGGAATTACGTCTGTAACCCGACATGTGCCCTGACCAGGAATCAAGGAAGTGTCTTCCTGGTTCATGCACTGACACTCAACCACTGAGCCACATCAGCAGGGCATGATCCTTGTTTTTATTTTATTTATTTTTAGAAACTGTTTATTTTCCATCAACCTTATTTCCGTTCTGTTGAGAATTTGTGGAAGAGCAGCTTAGGACCACTCAGTGGCTGTCCCTACCCATTCAGGAGCCTGAGCGGTGGGGGCTGCAGACCAGTCCTCAGGGGCAGGCCTAGCCCTCCAGTCTTCAGAAGGAAACAGCTGACTGGGCACAGAGGGCACCTGCGCCTTCAGACCAGTCTGTGACCTCAGGCTGAGCAGCAGTGAACTCGGGAGCAGGAGCGGTCCCTTCACCCTGAAATTCCTCCTTGATCACAGCCTTTCCAGCCTCGACTGCTCTTCCTTTTCAATCTCTTCAGGATCTCTGTAGAAGGGAAGATCAGGCATGACTTCCCATGGGTGTTCATGGGAGATGGTGCCACGCATGCGTAGTACTTCCCAGGCCAGCACCCACCACACCAGGCCCACTGAGTGAGGCCCCTTGTTGTTGCAAGGGATGGCAATGTCCACATAGCGCAGAGGAGGGTCTGTTACACAGAGCAGTGGTGGGCAGGTTAGCATAAGACGCCTCTGTGAGAGGCTGCTGGGCAGCTGTGGGGTCAGCCACCACCAGAAGTCTTGGCTCCCGGAAGGCTGCCTGGATCTGGTTGGCGAAGGTTCCTGGAGTGACACCGCCCGCAATAGGAGGGGCTCCATGGGCAGCAGCAAACTTCAGCACAGCTCGCTGGCCAGTGTCCTGGAGGAGATGACACTGATGTCAGCGGGGTTTTCAATGGCAACATGGGCACGGGCTGCCCGCAGAAGCTCCTCCCAGGTTCTCCTCAGATTGATGATGTAGATGCCATCGCTTTTCCTTTTGTAGATGTAATACAGGACAGTACTATAATAACAGGGTAGTCAGATGACCTCCAAGTTCTCCTGAATAAATCCCTCCTTTCCCGGTGAAGGAAAAACGTTACCCAAAAGAGGAACCTGTCCTCCTTATAGTCTCCATTTCGGTTGTGTCTGTACCCCTCAGGAGTATGAAGCTGAAGGGTTGTATTATTGATCACTTCTATGCAACACTCTTGATCAGGAAAGCTCAGTGGGCACACCCTACAGTATACTCCAACTGGGTCTTTAAGACTCATTTGGGATCCTTTCTTCCCTACAGGTTTCCTGGGAGTCTTAGTCCTCACTGACTTCATGGCTGCCCAGGTGTGCACGCAGGACGCCAGGCTTGGCGGGGAGCCGGCTACAATGCCTTTAAAATGCACATAGGAAAAAAAAAAAAAATGGACACAGAACTAGGAAGCACCAGGACTTTTCCTCTTCAAAGTGACCCAAGGTCAACCGTTACTCATTTGAAGGAAAACAGCCCCCAAGGCCCACGTATTCTTATTGAAAGACACTCTTCCCATTTCCGAACGAATTCCTAAAACCGTGTTGATTATTATGGACAATTTGAGACAAAGGCAAAGGTTTGCATGGATGTCCTAAACATCTGGGGATGGGGCTAGCCTGCAGGGTGGGGAACTCTGCCAGATCCCCATCTGCATGTCCATGTCCATGCTTTTGCAAGCTCCCCCCCCTGCCTCAGATGGTAGGTAGACATTCCATTTCCATGCATCTGGGTGAAGACGGCACCTGTGGTCACATTTTTTATTTCAGTTGTTACTTGAGCATTCAGGAAAGAACTGGCTAAAGCCCACTTCCAACTCTGTTTTGGAACAAGAGAAAAGAGTCTTTGAATGCTGGAATCATAATTCTCCACAGGACCTAAGTTTCAGAGGCTATTATTTTGTCAGTTGTTTGCTCCTGAGAATTTTCCAAGCAAACCCTCCACTGTGGAATTGCTGCTCTGCTTTCTTGTTCTTTCTCACTTGGGGGAAATAAACAATGGGGCGGGAGGAGACAAATAGTCCACCAGGGGAGTGCGGTGCCATTTGGAAACACATGTCAAAGGCACATTTTAAATCTCTGAATTAATTGCACCTTTTTTATATGCCACCCACTTCATGGGGGAGGGGAGGCGCGCAGGAGGGGAGGTTGTAAAAGAGTTTTTAAGAACCAAAATGAACCAAAAAGTAAAAATGCGAGGGGAGAACATAAGCAATACATTCTGATTGAAAAGAATGATAGCCATTAAACATAAAACATACTTCTGAGCCAAGAAAAGGAGAAGACAGCTGACTGCACAATTCTGTGTGTCATTACATGAAACAGTTCCTATAAAGGAAGCCCATTCCCAATGCTTGGTTCTGAAATGGATTTGTCCAGGACTTCCATGTTTAAAAACATTTTTCTAGGTGGGGCAATTGCTTATACCCGTCATTGGTGAAATCCAACTAAGTACCGTTCAAGCCAGTTCCATCAAGGAGGTTCTCTAGGGTAGAAACTATTCATCTCCACCAGTTGGCTTTTCCCATAAATGGTAAGCCACGTGGCTACAAACACTAAGTTTGGCAGACAGCTCCAGTCGCACTAAATTCCAGGGCTCAATAGAACTTCTTTTGTAACTTCAAAGTGCACCTGGGATGTATGGCTTCATTTCTCAGGAAGCTCAGCACCAACTAGATTTGGTCCAGAAACAGCAGCTTATTCCATAGGACTGAGGTTTGGCAGTAAGAGTATTAAATAACCAGATGCTATGATGACAGTCTCATAACATCTGGTTATTTAATACTCCTGGTATCTGTGAGTTCATCTCTTTTCTTGGCTTTAGATCCAACTACTGGTATTGAAATCTTGTGGTTCTTTTTTTTTCTCTCTCCCGCTCTGAGTCAAGTCGCCCCCATATCCTCTTCACATTTGTAATTTCTGTTGTTAGTGTGCCTTTCCCTGTTTCATGCCAAGATGTGGATTCTTTTTTTTTTTCTTCTAAATTCTTTCCTGTAGGCGTTATGAAGCTGTACATCTGAATTGTGATACCCTGCCAGAAGCAAAGATAAGCACTTCAAAGATTATTTACTTATCATAACCCAAGGCTCAGATCTGAAAAGATGGGACTCTGGGGAGCTGTAGTACTGTGTAACACTTCCTGGTTTTCAAGAACTTAGGGCTGGAATATGCTCTTTTGTGATGTCCACATGAACACCAAACAATTAGGAGGGTTTTGAAGAGGAAAGACACATGTTACTTGAATAACTTCTCCAAAATTTCTTCTTTAAATATATAGCCAATAAATGAGGCAGCCCTTCCCCACTCTGTTGAATAGCTATAAATCCTTGAAGATCTAAAGATGAACTTATTAAATAACTCTTACTAAAAATGAGTAACTTTGTAATGTAAAAATCTGCTTGGCATATTTAATAAAGAGTGATGTGAATGGAATTGATTCATTAGAAACCCAAATCTAACCCAACTGATGTCATTGCTAAAAATAAAAGACAAGAATAACACATT